TTCAGGTATTTGAAAAATTGCAGCCTTTCTTGGGCTCTTCTTTTAGCAATTATATTGCAGCACTTATTCATTTGAGCCCTGTAAGAATTTTTTATTTGTTTGGAATAAAGACATACAGTTTTCAGACTGTGCCAGGAAATCATATCCTAACCACCTAGACTTCCCTGGACTTTCCCCTTCATTCTCTGAATTTTAATCTATGCTTTCAGTCTCTGAGTTAACTGAGAAGGCTTTTCGTTCTGTGAACTAAGCACATTCCTTTAAAACCACAGGCATCCACTTGTGACTGGATGTCTGACAATCACAACATTGGCATGCAGGTAAAAAAGAACTCAATTTGCTTTTCCCATCACACCTCTGGTTACCTCAGGGAACCCCATTTGATGGAGAAGGTATAAGGATCATCTCTGCCATCCCAGCCACATCCAGGCATCCCAGTGATCTCAGCTCAGCCAGAGCAGCACATCACACTGTCACCTTCCAGAGGATGAAGGAAAGCACTGCCAGCAGCCAGACCAGAGAGCCCCTCTTCAGAATAGCCCCAGAGATTCTTTTCTGCAGCCTCATGAGTTTATGGATTAAACTATTTCAGGGGATGGACGGGCCTGAGGTATACTAAACTCTTAAGATTAGGATTTTGTCCTTTGTTAGACACACAACATGGATCACTCTAAACACTTAATCAACATTTAACAGAACTGAATCTGTATCATGTTTTTAAGAAAGTAGAAAAGGTGTCAAATTGTTTCTTGTTTTTCTATCAAAATAATGTCATAGATAAGTAGGTAGATAACATCTTGGTGTAAGAAAGAGTAAAAAATGAAGAATAAGAGGTAAAAGACCTCATACTGTTGGTGAGAAAAGGCAGAAATCCATTTGTCTGTGTTCTCTCCTTTTTAGTTGATGACTGGGCAGGCTGTTCTGAAAAGAGCAGTCCTCTGCAGCTGGGGAGTGCCCATTTATTCAGCTTAGGCACAATAAGAGCATGTTCCCACTACAATGGCCATGCAATTAGTAACATTCCTAATGATAATGCAATTTACACAGAAATCTTAAAGATTCATCCTATAAGAAGTTGTTTGGGTTTAGAAGAATCTGAATGAAAGTTTTAGAGTGTGTGTGTGTGTGTGTGTGTGTGTGCATATTTGTACTCCTGATGTTTCTTTTACTTTAAGCTCCTTTAAAAAAGAAAAAAAGTATTACTTTTCCTATATTTTTACATTATGATTTGCAGAATCTTGTGGACTCATGGTTATCAGGCAAACCTGAGTTATTGGAGTTCCTGAGCAAAGAGGATCTATCAAAACATAAACCAGGGCTGGGGTTGTGGCTCAGAGGTAGTGTGCTTGCCTAGCATGCGTGGGGCACTGGGTTTGATTCTCAGCACCATGTAAAAATAAAATATTGTGTCCACCTACGACTAAAAAATTTTAAAAAAATGTTTAAAAAAACATAAATCAAAGAGCCATTAAGATTCAGTGATCAGATCATAAAATATATATTTTAGTGTCATCAAGTTATTTTTTTTCAACATCTGGCTTTTAGAGTTTACTCTTTCAAAAGAAAAAGGGAAATTATTTGTAAACTGAGATGCACAGGGTAGAGCCAACTATGAGTGGGAACAAAAATCCTCCAGACGATTGAATCTCCACTGGTATTTTTTATTATTTCCGTTGTTTTAAATGTACATGACAGGAGAGTGTATTTTGATATATGACACATACATGGAGTATGACTGTTCTTATGGTTGGTTGTACATGAAACGCAATTTCACTGGTCGTGTGTTCATATATGAACATAGCAAAATGATGTCCAATTCATTCTGCTGTTTTTCCCATTTCCATTCCTGCCCTCTTCCCTTCATTCTCCCAGTGAACTTCTGTTGTTTCCTCCCCCCACCCTTATTGTGTGTTAGCCTCTGCATACCAGAGAGAACATTCAATCTTTGGTTTTGGGGACTGGCTTATTTCACTTAGCATGGTAGTCTCCAGTCCCACCCATTTACCAGCAAAATTCATAAAAAGTCATTATTTTTTATGGCTGAGTAAATATACCACATTTTCTTCATCCATTCATCTGTTGAAGGGCACCTAGGTTGGTTCCATAGCTTAGCTATTATGAATTGAGCTGCTATAACCATCAATGTGGGTGCATCACGATACTATGATGGTATTAAGACCTTTGAGTATATACTACGGAGTGGGACAGCTGGGTCAAATGCTGGTTCCATCCCAAGTTTTCTGAGGACTCTCCACACTGCTTTCCAGAGTGGTTGCATAAATTTGCAGTTCCACCAGCAATGTATGAGTGTACCTTTCCCCCCACATCCTTGCCAACATTTATTGTTACTTCTTTTCTTGATAACTGACATTCTGACTGGAGTGAGATGGAATCTTTGTGTAGTTTTAATCTGCATTTCTCTAGTTGCTAGAGATGTTGAATGTTTTTTCATATATTTGTTGGGCATTTGTATTTCTTCTTCTGTGAAGTTTCTATTCAGTTCCTTTGCCCATTTATTGATTGGGTTATTTTTATTTTATTTATTTTGTGTGTGTGTGTGTGTGTGTGTGTGTGTTAAGTTTTTTGAGTTCTTATAGATCCTGGAGGTTAGTGCTCTATCTGAGGTGCAGGTGGCAAAGATTTTCTCCCATTCTATAGGCTCTCACTTCATGTTCTTAATTGTTTCCTTTGCTATGAAGAAACTTAATAGTTTGTTACCATCCCATTTATTCTCAATTTTACTTCTTATGCTTTAGTTTTGTTGAAGAAGTCAGTTCTTAAGCTGAAAGTGGGAGTGGAACCTACATTTTCCTCTAGTAGGCACAGGGTCGCTAGTCTAATTAGTGCCATAAAGTTGGGGTTTTTTTTTTTTTTATGGCCTGTGTAGGACCCTGTGCCTACTAGAGGAAAATGTAGGTCCCACTCCCACTCTCAGCTTAGGAACTGACTTCTTCAAGTCAGTTATTTTGTGTGTAAATACAAAATAACAAACGTGCGGCCCCTGGGGATTGAACCCAGGGGTGCTCTACCACTGACCTACATCCCAGTCCTTTTTGTTCTTAATTTCTCTAAGACAGTCTTCCTAAGTTGCTGCACCTGGCCTTGAACTTACAATCCTCCTGCCTCAGCCTCCCAAGTTGTGCCCAGCTATCACTTTTTTCATCTCTACAGTATAATGCTTTGCAAAGCTGAAAAATGGGCTTACTCTACTTTTCTAATTAAAACATTGCTTTAAAAGTTTGTAAAGCTCACTGAACTAACCACACCAATGATGGAGTTGGGCTCATTTGTTTTGGTCTAAGAAAAGTATTTAAGCTTGAACATATGGTGGTTTCAAAGGGAACACAGTTGAGTTAGAGGGACTGCAGGATGATGACCTTCCCACCAAAGTATTTTCTGCAGCTTGTGGAGGAAAAGACATGCGCACAACCTATGATTGTGGGAACTCTAAGGGTTAAGAAAAGTCTATTAAGGAGGGACTTAATCGGATACCTATTTTTAAAAATAAGTAGAGAAGAGTAAATTATAGGAGGACAACTATAACATTGCAACTGCCAGAACTTCCTGAACATAAGGCCTGTGAAAAAAAATCACAAAGTAGTGTTATATGTTTTCCTTTGGTGATTAAAATCAACACAGTTAAAACTATTTAGAAGTAAATTTACATCCAAAACTAGAAAAAGAGAAATGGCTTACTCTTGAGATTCCCATGCTTCTTTTACCAAAATGGCGGGCAGGGAGGAGTTGCAGAAAAGAGGGACTCTGCAAGGTCTGCTCACAAAATCCTCGCCTCCTCACTTGTATCTTCCAGGGATCAAGCAGTCATGCACAGCTTTTTCTGGAGAGCTACATGTGTAACATTTCAAGAATTAAAAACCTGACAGGCTAGGGCTGTGTGACTCACTGGCAGAGCACTTGCCTAGCATGTATGAGAAACTGAGTTCAATCCTTAGCACCATAAAAAAATTAAACAAATAAACTAAGGGCATCCTATCCTATCTACAACTATAACAACATTTTCTAAAAAATTAAAATCTTGGATACAAATATTATATTTAAATCCTAATATTTTCTCCTTTAAACTTAATATTTCCTAAATATTATGAAAGTCATTCAAACTCTAATTATAGATATAAAAATGAATGCCTATAATTTTATCACCCAGAAAAAAACCAGTCAATGTTTTCCCTCCGTTTTCTTTTTTATGGTACTGGGAATTGAACTCAGGGCCTGGCACATTAGGCAAGCACTGAGTTTTATCTCCAGCCCTTGTAAAGTCTATTTTGAGACAGGATCTTGCTACGTTGTCCAGGCTGGCCCCAGACTTCCCTTTCTCCTGCGTCAGTCATATGCCACCACACCCAGCTTCTCCCAGTTCTCTTACCGAGTATAACAGGATTCTTCAAAATAATTGGGATACTATATTAATAGTCTACACAACTATCTCAGTAACAGTAAATATTTGTTGTGTACTTTTGAAAGCCTGCTACTATGGTAGAGGATGGGAGCCAATAATGCATCAATAACACCCTTAAAGGCTACACGCTGTGGCAGATTTTAAAGGCTCCAACACAGGGATTCCTCTTCATTCAGTAGTTCAAGGAACTTTTGCTACTCCCATTTTTCAGATCTCAAAGAAAGTACATAATTTTTTTTCAATGGCAATTCCATCAACTTTTTCATTTGCTGCTTTAGATTTCCAAACTTGGAAACATCTTTTAAGTGTATTGAAATTTTGTGAAATGCTTAAGGAGACTTCAATGAATGAAGTATATTGGTAAGTGCTCACAGTTCTGCTACCAGATGTTCCTATTTTGGCTTTGAGACACGAAGGATATGACTCCCCTCCCCGCTCCCAGTACTGGGAACTGAACCCAGGGCCTTTGCATATGCTAGGCAAGAACTCTGACACTAATGCCACTGAGCTATGTACCCAGCCTGAAGGATATGACTCTTAAATCTAAATGTGCATCAGCCAATCTTCAAAAAAATCAGCATACTCATAATCCAGAAAGCTTTAATAAAAGTTTAGTTATAGATGTAAAGGCACATTATTCAGAGTCAAGAAACTTGGGTCATATTGGAGAGAACAGTGCTGCATATGCAGAAAATCATGTTCACATACAAGCCACAAAAATTATCAAACATGCTATAAAACAAAGAAAGCAAGGGAGTCCAGAAGGATGTGGAAGGTTTTCACAAGAAATTGAAGCAGCTCATTTGATGGCCTGCACTAAAAGGGAGCCTCAGATTCTAAAAGGCAGAGAAACAGTCCCCAGTTCACCCTTGCCCCAGAAGATGGAGGAGGCAGAACATGACAGAAACAATGGAGTACCGAGAAAAGTGGTCAGGAGTCTGACTCACAAAGATCAGCACACCCTTTCCTGTTCTGACTAGTATGAGGACAGTGGACAAAGAGGTAAAGGAAAGGCTGCTCTGAGAAGACACAGGGTCACTCAGTCTTGTCAGGGCCAGCCTTGCTTACCTTCCATCAACTGTGGACAGACAACAAGTCTCACGGACCTACTAGAACCTTGGCAGACATGTTGCCCTTTTTTTTTTTTTTTTTTTTGGAGCACTGGGGATGGGAGCCAGGGCATCACGCATGCTGGGCAGGTGCTCTACCATTTGAGCAATATCCCCAGCCCAACATGTTGTTTTTAAACCCGATATCATGCCACTAATTTATATGATAAATCATATTTGTGAGGTGGTAATGAGACTTCCATTAATTGAATTGTCATTATAATTAAAAATGATTTCTGATTATACTTTCCTAATTAACATGCAGATAATCTTTGTTTTGTAAATGCAGACCTCATACTTAATGGAAAAGACTGGTCCAGATGCCTGCAGGGGACCCTATGGCAATTTCAAGTGTGCTTTTCTGACACTGTTCTTTGTTCCCTGGTAAGACTCTCTACTGAGAAACAGGACATCACTCAGATCTTAAAAAGTTTTTCACCCTTGAGTGTAGCTCAGAGACTGATGGTTCAGAAGGCCTTCCTGCAGTGCTCTATGGGGATGAGGCCTTGGACAAACATGGAAGACTAAATCCCATTTCTACCCTTCTATAAAACTCTTCTTTCTCAGCATCCCACTGTGTCTCTGTACTGTCTCAGGCTGATGTCAAAAATCAGCATCTGAGTTTTTCAGATCAGTACCTTTTGTTCACCTCTTTAAAAACAACCAAACACAAATCAAACTTGTATGGTAGGAAGGATATTTGCTTACAATGTAATGAAGAGGGTCTTCCATCCCCCGATGTACAGTTTATCAAACGAAATGATAAAAAGTGACAGCATTGATTATATTATTCTTGTTATTTATAAATGTATATGACAGTGTATCTCTTAGTTACTTTGGGTATATGGGAATAATTAATCCTTGTGAAAATATTATTAATAATCACACAAAATTGAGTACTACTTAAGGCAATTAACCATAAGCCAAACTTCAGCAATATGGTAAAAACTACTTATCTTTACATACAAAGAAAAATGCATGAACTTCCTATAACAATATGGGCATATAATTAAAAAAACTCATACTCAACTTTACATTATTCTGTGGCTAGTAACATCATGAGGTGTTTTTAAAAGTCAGAAATATTGTACTATTTAGAAATACTCTGAATAGGAAAGGAAGTAGTTGTAAATTTTATTCTCAAAATTGATCAATAAGGAAGAAAATAACAGTTAAGCAGACAAAAAAGGTACCAAAACAGGGTATTACTCATATATACAGAAGATATGAACAGTATAGATTCATTTCTAGTTGATTCAATCCTATTTACACATTTAAAATACAAAATTACATTTCAATCTGTCAAGAAGCTGACCACATTTAGCACCAGGAAAGGAACTTGACTTTAGCTTCTGATCATGACCTCAATATCCTAGAATAGGAAAAGAAATTTCATGAAATCTAGATGCATTTATCAACACCAATTAATAAAAATTAATTCTGAAAAGTAATTCCTGAATGTCATCCATTCACAAATGAGTCAAAGGCATTAGGACCTTAACACTTGGTACTACTTGATGTTGCGAACTACTCTCCTACAGTGGTTTGTTTTCATCTCCTCCAAGGCTTGTTCCAGTTGCTGAACTAAATGAAGTAGGGTGGCTGGGTCTGTCTGCAGAACTTTGGTGTTGTGATCTCCATTCTGATTTAGGTGTAGTTTTATAGTCACTGCTGGTTTAATCTGTTGCCTGAGACTTCTGCTTGCAAGCTTGATGGTAAATAGAATAAGAGCACAATACTATTTAATAGACATGCAGAATATGAAATATTTATAATTACCTCACATTATACACCAAAATCAAATTTAAGATAATCACAGACTTCAAAATGAAAAGTAAACTTTTAAAACCTTTAGAGAGAAAAAATAAAAATATAGATGAAACCCTGTGATACAGAAAAATTTCTTAAATGTCATACAAAATGTGCAGATCATAAAGACAAAAACCAATGAATTTAGTGAATTTAATAAATTTTCTTCAAAGAGAACTTGAAAAAATTGGCAACATGTCTATAATTAAAAAAAGGTTAGTATCCAGAATGTATGTCAAACTCCTCTGATGTAGTAAGAAAAAAAAAACAAAATCTAAGAGAAAAATGAATTTTTTTCTGAAAAAAATGATATGAATAAGCATTTTCACAAAAGACAGGTAAACATAGAAAAATATGTTCACCTTTATCATACATCAGGAAAATGGTTAAAAGAAAAAACCTCATGAAATACAATTTTACATTCATCAGATTGTAAAAACTGAAAACCTAACCATATCAAGCACTGCAAACAATGGTAACGAAAAACTCTTGCTCATTCTAGTGAGTGCGGTGAGAGATCACTTTGAAAACAATATGCATTATCAGCAATTCTACTCCTAGGCAGACACCTTCAACTCTTACACATATACATTTTATTCATAACAGTATTTGTTTTCAAGAGCCCAAAACAAAACATTTCAAAAAATCAGAAACATCTCAATAGAATGGAGAAACTGAGAATATTCACACACAATGAATTGTTCACTAAATGGCAGTGAAAAGAAATGAACTACAGCAACATAAAGTACTAGCATGTGTGAAGCACTAGATTCAATCCTTAGCACCATAAACAAACAAAATAAAGGCATACTGTCTATCTACAACTACAAAAAAAATTTGTTTAATTTAAAAATGTCACAGAATATAGGAAATATTTAAAAATATACAATTTAGAGACAAAAAATATTTTAAAAAACTATAAAGAAGAGTAACAAAAAACTCAGGGTTATGATTTTCCTCTAGGTGGCTGGGGAAATAGGGGTTAAAACTGGGAAGGGCCCAGATGACTCAAAAGTACTGATTTTATTCTACTTGCTAAGTTAGGTGATGGGTAAACATGTATTTGTTTCATTATTATTCTTTAAACTGTATCTTACAATCTTTTGTGTAATATGTTCTAAAGTATAACAAATAAGCACTATTGACATATTTTCAAAAGATAAAAAACACAAATATAAACAATGATAAACTTGAAGGGATGGCACTCAACCCCAGTGTAACAGAGTTCTCCAAAGACCCTCCTCCAGTAAAGAATCAAGGACCACTTCACAGCAGGAGCTGCCTCAAGGGACAGGAGTTGTACGATGAGCCTTGAAATATCTTACTACACAAGAAAGCTGTCAAAAATTATTATAGTCATATCAGAAGGACAGGAAGTCCACTTGAAGAGACTTCTCAGTAAGAACAAATCTAAACTTGAGATTTTGGGATTAATTTAATAATAACAGAATATTCTAATAACTTCTTCTAAATAATTCTAGGTGAGATACTTATCCAAGGCTGCAATTTTAATGTTTTAAAAATTTTGCAATTAATGACTTTGTTTCCAAGATAATTTGGAAACAGGCCAATCCCTTTGGACGAACTAGTCCTTGAACAAAAAATAGTATTTAATAAAGTGAAATATCTCTTAATATCATTTCCTAGTACAGAAAATTATAGATACGATATGCAAACTGTGACTGAAAATACTACTTATTCATTCAAATGTACACTGTTTATTTTTGTGGGTTTTTTTGTTTTGCTTTTTCCTCCTGCATCTGTATTGACAGGGATAAAAGTATTTAAGTGTGTAATTAATACATTTTTTGTTGAAAGATTTAAAATCAATTTATCCATCATTTTTTTTTTTAAGAAATGATATCTAAATTCCTTGACAGATGAGAATCTATGTCCTTCCTTTCCTTTACATTTAAGCATACCATTCTTTAAAAATTTTAGAAAAGGCCAGGCACAGTGGTACATGCATATGATCTCAGTGGCTCTGGAGGCTGAGGCAGGAGAACAGCAAGTTCAAAGCCACCCTCAGCAACATAGTAAGGCCCTAAGCAACTTAGTGAGATTCCATGTCAAAATAAAATAAAAAGAGCTGGGGATATGGCTGAATGGTTAGGTGTCCCTGGGTTCAATCCCTGAGACAAAAAAGAAAAATTACAGAAATTAGTTTAACATCCTAACAAACATGTAAGACATAATTAGGCCTCATTTTTTCCTCAAAAAGAAGTTAAATGACATTCAGTACTACAGGAAAAAGAACAGAAGCCCACATGGTCCACTGATATGAATTTATTTTTTAATGGGGATGAAATTCTGTCCTTCCTGTGAACATAACAATAACAGTAAATTTAAACTAAAATGTTGTATGTCAATGCAACTTAGGGGAAAAAATGTTTAGTCTGAAGAACTACATCTCAAGGCCCTGAAGGGGTAAAAAAAAAAAAAAAAAAGTAGGTAACAGGATACATAGGTCATGTTTCACTTAAAGTTGTTTCAAGAATTTAGCCCTCTACTTGCCGCAGAGCAAGTGCTATAATATGTGAGCAGGACAGGAAAAGGATGCTTTGATGCAGCTATGAATGAACTAGCCCCCAAAGCAACATTCTTCCGCATCAGTCCCAGATGCATTCAATGTACATACGCTATTAACAAGGGCATCAATTGTGCTGATAATTTATGAAGTCTGGGGAAATGCTCCTACAAGAAGCTAAACTATAATGATTACTTTGTTTCCCATGAACAATCACACAATAATTAGATGGTGACTGTCCATTCACCACCAGTCTCCATGAGACAAGTGAATTTACTCCCAGATGAAAGGCAGCATGTCCTGTTATTCATTTCCTACCCATTTGACTGGTGTGATCTATCATGCTTTCTTCCCCCAAACAGCAAAATCCACTCCAGTCAGAACCCCTTCTAACAGTTTCATCTAATGAGCTCAGGGACTCCACTAGTCCTGAATAGCTTTTTCAGCTTTCAGTTTATTTCACCACGTGTGGCAGGTCCCTCAGTATCTCAACGTTAACCTGCACTCATCCTCATGTTCATGCAGCAACTCAAAGTCACTTCACTGGGCAAATGAACCCTCCAGTTTAATTTTAGAAAACTCGACTTCGTAATTTCTAACTTCTAAAAATGTCTTCATAATGGAAAATCAAAGTAAATCAATAGGGGCAGGGGCTGGGGCTCGGGCTGAGCAGTAGAGTGCTCGCCTAACATGGGCAAGGCCCTGGGTTCGATACTCAGCACCACATAAAATAAATAAAATAAAGGTACTGTGTCCATCTACAATTAAAAAAATAAAGATTTTTTTATAAGTAAATCAATAAAGCCCAAAAAGACTCCATGGGCTACTGAGGCCTTAAAAAGTCCTAAAAGCCAGAGAACACCCATGCAAGAGTCATAATTATGTACAAGATAAATTACTGATGGACCACCTAAGCATGACCACCCCCATATCTCCACCTGGTTATTCGAAAGATCTAAACATACAGGTTTAAACACATTGATGAAACTTTTATGTGCCACATACAGAGCTGGGCACACAGTATCTGCTGTCAAGGAGCATGCAGTCTGGTTTATACCATATCCTGTGATCATGGCTACTCATCATGCTGGATTTTAGTTTGCTTTTTGGTCTTCTTTTATGAAATTGTGATGACTTAAAGACAAGTATATTTCTTCATTGCTACACATATTTATCAACTTTCTGTTACTGTGACAAAATATCTGAGATAATCAACTTATCAGGAGAAAAGGTTTATTTTGGCTCAAGGGTTTTGCTTCCGGAGGTCTGAATTCACCTTTAATTGGTTCTGTTTTTTATGGGCCTGTGGCTCATGGTGGGAGCACCTGGTAGGCAGAACTGTTTACCTCATGGAGGCAGAGAAACAAAAGAGAATTGGGAAGGGGCTAGAGCCCCAACATCTCCTCAAGGGTATACCGCCAACTGCCTAACTTCCTTCCATCAGACTCCATCTCTTCAAGTTTCCATCACCTTCCATCAGCACCACAGGATGAGCAAGTCTTTAATACACAGGCCTGGGTAATACACAGAGCCAAACCACAGCACTATATGTCTACAAGGCCTGGCACGCTCCAGAAATCCAACGAATGGTTTTTGATAACTGAATGGACATATGGTAGCATCAAATGATAAAAATGGTCTTTTCTGTGGTTATCTACATATACTAAGGATGCTGATGACAAGAGAGCAACCTCTCTAAGCCAGCCACACTATCCCAACCGAAAAACCTCAAAATACAGCATGACATGTACAGCTTTTTTCTGTCCAAATCCTAAGCCTTTCATCTTCTCAACCCCTAATGGTCCCCAGTGTAAATGCTACTCTTAATTCCAGTGACATTGTATTGTGATATGGTTGTTCCTCTCTGAAACTATTCTCCCTTTAACCACCAGCATTTCTTTTTTTTTTTTTAATTTTAAAAATTTTGTTCTTTTTAGATATACATAGATATACAGGAAAGTGGAGTGACCAGCTCTTCTTTCTATCAACCATGAGTAACCAATGAGATTCAGTTCAGCTTTCAGAGAAATCACTCTCATTTGTGGTCTGGAATAAGTCTTGTATGCAAGTTCTACACCTATCTCTTCATCTGCTATGGACTGAGGCATACAGGGAAGAGGCTGTCCACAGCTGGCACATGGGCACTTCCTCAACTGTAACAGGGATGAAGGCTCAGCACAGGTGCTAATGCAGGCAGGAGGCAAAGTGGTGGCAGGAATGTGTCAGAGTTCTCTTCTGATTTAGAAGAATGTAGAAATACAGAAAATGCTGAGACTTTGAAAAAAGAGCACATACAAGACATGCATGCTCCTTGCTATCCCAGGTTATCGGCTCACTGTGTGCTGTATAAAACGGGTACTATAAGAGTGAAATGGCTTTCCAAAATGGAAACACAGGTGCGTGAAAAGGAAAACACAAATGCCACCAAGATTAAACTGTAACTAGCAGCACAGGGAACTTCTCTCAGAGGGAGGAATCATTTTAAGCAAAAGCCAGCAAACCACGTATTTCTGTAAAGAACCAAATAATAAATACTATAGGCTTTGCAGAACTGCACAGCTTCCAGCACAACTAATTCAACTCTACCTTGTACTCAAAAGCAGCCATCGACAATATGTTAGCAAATAAGCATGATTATGTTCCAATAAAACTTGACAAATACGCAGCAAGTCAGATCTGACCCACAGGCCACAGTGGACTGAGCCCTGATGTAACCCGATATGTAAAAGGATAAGGAATACAATCAGAAGTAATGGCAAGGCAGGGGGAAGGTATTTCATAGAGAGGGAAAAATACATAAAGCCCCAAGTTCTTCCTACTTCTAACCCCCATTTTCATTCTGGTCTGCCCAAGATACCAGATTAATTTTCTTAAATGTGACTTTCTTTTTCTTTTTTTAGAGCTTGTGGTTTTCTTTTTTGTTCTAAATGTTACTCTCTTATCCAAGAATCTACAAGGGCTTCCTATTTATTGTCTGTGATGTTAAGTCTAAACTCCAACTGAATTTCTAATCTATTTGATCACTTTACCTTAATTCAAATCATGAAGAGTCTATTCTAACAGCTGTTCACAAACAGTACTTAGTATTATTTGGGTGAAAGGGAAGCTTTTAAAAATTCTCATGTCCAAGCCAAACCTCATACCAATAAATCAGAATCACTAGGGGTAGAACATAGACATTATAAATTTTTTCAAGCTCCCCAGGTTATTCTAATGTGCACCAAGTTTAAGAACCAGAACAGTATACCAGATATTTGTATCTTTTTCTTTTTTTTTTTTTTTTGGTTAAAATTTTCTAGATAATGCCAGTACACACTGAACTATGCAAATACATAAATAAATAAAGATTTTTTAAACACTCAGTTGGTATCTTTATTTATGTAATTATATTCTTTTTTCCCCTTCAGGACCTACTTTATAACTACTTAAATCTCTTATACCTTTTAGTGTCCCAAAACATTTAGCATAGCTGTTATCAGCCAATGGATCACATTCAACAAACATCTACTAACTTATCTTTTACTGCATAATAAAGGGCTACATGCAATAGTTTGAAATTAATTAACTAATTGATAAATTTGTTTGAGATGAGGTCTCACTATGTTGCTCTGACTGGTCTCAAACTCCTTGGCTCAAGTGATCCTCTTAGCTTACCCCTGAGAGGAGCTGGGACTATAGGCATGTGCCACTGTACCTAGCCTTTCCTTTTATTTAACTATGTGGCTTTAAAACAAGTGAAAGATAAGTTTCATAAAAATAATTTTGTGCAAAAGCTAGAGACCAAAGAGTATCTAACAAATCATTCCAAACGTGGAAAGAGAAAAAATGAGTAAACTCTGTGTGTTAGAAACAAGGATGCTGGTTACCTTTGAAAAGGACAGAAGAAGCAATAATTAGGAGGAGGCAAGGAGAATCCTTCAAGGATACTGGTGATGCTCATGTCCATTTCATGGGAATTTCCCCATGACCTAATTCATTATGCTGTACGCTTACTTATGTATTTCTTATATATGTGTTATATTTAAGGAGAAATGTTTTTTAAAAGTTAATACCACCTAAAATGTCTGCTAACCATTTGCTTTGCTAAAGTAATCAAATTAAGTTAAATTGAACACGTTAACAAAAGAAAATGAACTATTTGTAAAATGGTCTGAAAATGAACATTGATTAAAAAATCAGTTTCAAATCAGAGTTTGGTTGACATGGTAAAGAATACATAAGTAGGACACAATCTTTAAATAATTCTTATTCTATGTCAGGTTTTTAAAAACACACACACACACACACCTGTACATCTAGTCGCCACTCAAGGCTGTGGTAACTGGGAAGGCTGGGTGCCAGTTCACCCAGAATAGTCCTGATCTCTTTTCTGTTGTCCAGGTAAAGCTGAAGCAACAATTTGTTCAGTTCTTCAGAGAATCCCAGAACAAAAACAGAGTCTTGGAAATCCACTTCAGAAATCTACAAATGAATTGAATTTAACAGAACATCAAAATCTATTTTTGTCAGGTAAATGCTAAAATACTTGTTATATACAAAAGATATATTTGATATCCCCTAATTCACTTGTCTATAACATTCTTTATAGATGAAGATAATCATTATTTACTATTCCAAGATCTGAGTTACTGTCACATAAAAAATACTTTTTTAAAATATAAAAAGAACTAAGATGCCCAATATTGCCTCCTATTCTCCGTCAAGTCAGATACTGCTGATGTGCAAGGAAAGTAGATCATTTCCTTCCTCCTCCTCCTCCTCATAGGGTCCTTCCCCAGCCAACGGTCTGGGCAACACCGGATGCCCCAGGCGCCCTCACCATGAGCTTGGAGCTCTCGGTGAGCAGGTAGGTCAACCCTTCCACACCATGCTGGACAGCGTCGCTGCTCACGTTGAGCTTCCCTAAAAAAAAAGGAAAACGAATAAATCAATCACCGTGCGACGTTCTTCTTTTTGTTCAAATTCCTACCTAAAAATAAATATTTTAACTCGGCCTCTGGCTTTCTCCTCTGCTGGCCAGACGCCTTCCGGACTTCCAGTTCAGTGCAGGTCCAGCAC